CTTGTACATAATGAAAGATGGGGTGGTGTTAATATTTGTTAGTACACATACAGGGTGTCCCAAAAAGTCTTCATACATGGGGAAAAATAAACTCATATTTTTATATGAGTTTTATATGAATTTATGTATAAATGTGATAGAATGTGTGTGTGTGTGTGTGTGTGTGTGTATATATATATATATATATATATATATAATGAATAATGCTACATTTAGCTACAATTTCTCATTTTCCCTATGTATGGCGACTTTTGGGGCACCCAGTTGTATTTTCATGAGTGCATCAACATACGAAGAAATATGAGATAGTGGTCCTATTTTACTTTATCCATGTTGTCAGTTTGACTCCTGAACTGTTCTATTGAATTAAATTTTAAAATGAGACGTATAACTGCCAATAACAATGTCATATGGTAATAATCCAAAAAAAGAATATACTGGTTGAGATGGATCCCCAAGAATGCTCTGAGCTTTCTTAAAGCTGCACAACTTATAAAGTTCTTCCAAAGAGGGGAGAGTTCAACCAGTGATTCCCTGTGCAGAAGTGACTCTTTGGAGCGCCTTCCTTTCTGCTACTGTACAGTTACCATACCATGCACAGATGCAGTAGGTTAGGACACTCGATAGCACAGCAGTAGAAAGTTAGCAGTTTTTCATTCTGTTGTTGGTTCCTTAGAAGTCTCAGGTAGTACAGTCTCTGCTGTGCCCTCTTCACCAATACTGCCATATGGGTGCCCCAGATCAGATCCTCTTAACAGTTACACCCAAGAACTTTATATTGACCAACTGCTCCTTTTGGTCTCTATTTATGACCAAGGGCTGAATTTCTGGTCTATTCTTCCTATTAACTCCTTGGTCATATTGATATTAAGAACCATATTATTATCCCTGCACCACAAGAATAGCCGATCCACCTCATCCTGATTGGCAGAATGATCCCTTCAGAGATAAGCCCCACCACAATATTTTTATATGAGTTTATATGAATTTAGGTGTAATTTATGTATTCTTTCCAACCATCTGTCATGGTTGGAATTAATAATTGTGAAAAGAATTAACATTGCCTTACAAACAGCTTTAGCATTAAAAGATTTCAATAGAATCAGATTATCTATAATGATGAAACAAGAAAAGTGAAACATTTTGAAGCTGAAACAGAATCTACCTAAATCATACATTTTATTATGATCTTGGCTTTAAAACAGATTGGCTGCATAATTGGGTAGAAACATAAATTGCATTGTTCGAGAAGATTTGTTAAGGTGTATTTTTGTGGCATACACATAATTAAGTAAGGCCCATTGAACACTGTTTTGTTTATGATTAAGCCAGGTTTTGTTGGTTTATGAATGACTTATTTGACTGTTAAAAACATGAATTTTCCCAAATGCAGTATTGAAGAATTGTGCCAAGTAACTATTTAATTTCACCAAAAGATATATTTGCTTTTTTGTAGCACCTTCAGTTTTAGTACACCTACAAATTTGGAATAAAATGTGGAGCTGAATTATTTTTTACCACTTCATATCAAAACTATTTTTGTTATTCATAAGGCCTGCCTGGTGGCTTCAATGGGTCGCTTCACAGAAGCCACCCACAATTGTAGTCATAAGAGCTCTGATCATTTTTAACTTTGCACTATGTAAATTTCTTGAAAAATTACAACCTTAACGAATTTAATTATATGATGGAGCATGAGTTTTCATCAAAACATTCTTGTATGTAAAAATAAAACCTTGGTTTTACTAATCTGCAGTGGAGTATGATCGTTATAGTAAACAGGCAGGACTAATGAATGGAAGTGTATATTGTAGACATTTCTCTAAAGGTCTGTGCAGATCTGTTTTCTTTCTGTTTGCAAGTAGTATAAATGCTGTCATCCACAATTGTGTGTGTGTGTGTGAGAGGAACCTTGACTTATGAAAACATATCTGTTGACAAACCCACCAAGCATGTCATAGATGTTATGTAATAGATTTGCTTGCTCTTTGTTAGGTATGTTGATGATACTTTCTTCAAGAACATGTAGCTGATAGTTGCAAAAAGCAGCTGGTACAGTAAAAAATGTTGAGAATATTCACATTTGCATTGCAAAACATGGGATGATCTCAGTATAGCAGCTTTGTTTTTCTAGTACTGCATATTGAACCCATTAATTAGCTCTGGTTGTAGTTTTGTTTTAACTTACTGAGTTCTATTGATGCTAGTCCACTCAAAATTATTTCTCACGGATTGGACTGAACAACTACTTCACAGGCAGGTTAAGTATCTCTTATCTAAAAATCCAAAAAGCTCCGAGTTCCAAAATTGTCCACATGGGTGACTTAGGTAGTGATGCCTTTGCTGTTTGATTGTTCAGTGTACCTAAACTTTGTTTCATGCCCCAAATTAAAATGTTGTCTATGAAATTATCTTCAGATTATGTGTATAATATGTATGTGAAACACAAATAAGTTTCATGTTTAGTCTTGGGTCTTGTCTTGTCTTCACAACATCTTATTATGTTTATACAAATATTCTAAAATATGAAATCCAAAATACTTTTGGTCCCAAACATTTAGAATAGGGATACTGGACTTGGATTTCTTTTTATTTCTATATTCTGTTTCTTGTCTGGACTCCCAAGCAACTCTCACAATATGTAGAAGATACCAAAGGTCTGGGATTTTGGTGATCTCGAAGCCATTTTTGTTGCATTATAGAATTTGAATTGGTTTCAACTACCTTGATTAAATTATCTAGCAAATCTGTGTTGTGGATGGATGAGTGGCAATTTTGTTCTCACCTGTGAATGTTTTATATCGCAAATTCTATTCTATAATTTTGATATTTGCGCTGCTTTATATAAAAAAGAACCGATTCCATTAAGTGGTGTGGCCATTCAGTAGAAACAGTTCCCAGAATGGAGAAGGCCACAAAGTTGTTCTTAAAAATGTTGTGTTACAAGTCTTTAGAGAATGTCTACTATTAAGTATTGATTGTGAAAATGTTCAATTCTGAAATTTAGTAGACGCAGGCATGTAAAATGAAGCATGTTGCTAGAATGGAGATTTCCCTAATCTGACCTAATAACAAATCTTAACATTTTCATGTGTATGTGGAAGAAAAACCTCTTGCTCATATGACCACAAAGAGAGAATCTGGGAGAGCAATATTATCTACAAGCAACATTTATGATAAATGTATGTGTTAAATGGATACACTGAATAAGATCTGTTAAAAATTTCAGTTTAGACAACTACAGATATTAGCGCTATGTCACAATGGCACATTGCTTGGGAAGATTGTTTGGATTTTTGGAAGAATCCTTGACCAAGAACAAGGACTGGAATCATGCAGCCCTCTTGATTTATTGGACTTTTAAGAACAGACATGAGGACCCACTGGTGGGTCACTGGCAGTGTAAATCACAAATTTCCTTAAAAATAGCTAGATGTGAGCCATATGCAAAATCCAAAAATGGGGGAACAGCCTAATGAACTCAAGCAAGGTAGAGTGTTTCTGTTAGTAACCTCCAATCTTGGAGTCAACTGCACACAGGCAATCCTTGGGTTGCAAACATCTGACTTACAAATAACTCATAGTTCAGGACAGGAGCGAGACAATGGGAAGTTAGAGAAATCTACCCCTAGGAAGAGAAATTCACTCCAGTAAGAGTTATTGGAGTTATTGGGGGGGGGGGGGGGGGGGGTGGCTCAGCGAAAGCTTTCTCACCAATTTTTGTTTCCACAACAAGCCAAATTTTTCAAAATCCAATTATCAAAGGTACAGAAATTTGAGTAAAATCTTCTGAGTAGGGCTGCAAACAGAAAAACAAACACCACAGGGGTGTTAACCCTTCCCTGTGCTATGCAAAGCTTGAAAACTATATTTTGGGCTGGTGTTACACTTAAAAATACCTGTTCTGACTTACATATGCATTCAACTTAAGAACAAACCTACACAATCTGTCATGTTTGTAACTTGGAGACTGCCTGTACAACAAAAGCTGAGGAATGTTGTAAGTTGCAGGTCAGCAACCTCTGGAAGCTTGCGGTTCCTAGTCCGTAGCAGGACCATGGGAGACTTGTACCATTTTCATGCTGTTCTCTAGGGCTCAGACGAGGGAACTGGTAAAAATCTCATGCTTTCCATTTCTGTTAATAGAGGCATCTTCTAGATCAAAATCCTTCACGTGAAAGAAAGGGCACTGGTGGCTTCAACCTATAGTTACTAGTTGGATTAAAAATGAATGGGAAATCTGCGGCTTTCCAGGTGTTTTTGTATTTTAACTGTTGTCAGTCTCGGCATTCTTAGTGTTCAGAGAGAATGGGATATTGCCTGAAAAACCACAAGTTCTCTGTTGTACTAAAGTCAGTTGCCAACACAATGATAAAACAACATTTAATTAGATATAAAGAGAACAGGTTACAGCATTATGTCCTTTCATCCATACTGCCAAACTAGAGTGGAAAGTGTAGGGCTTTCTTTCCATTCTACCACCCTCCATAGTTAGGTTGGTGGGGACATGGGAGAAAGCCTTCTCAGTGGCTGCTCCTAAACTCTAGAATTGTCTCCTAAAGGAAGTTTGAACTATCCCTTCTCAGTTTTCTTTTGTGAGCAGGCAAAGACCTCCCTGTTTCAATATACTTTCTTCCTTGGCTGACGTGGTAGAATGATGTGTAACTGGGTATGCTGTTTTAATATGAATTATGTGTTGAGTTGTGAGTATAGGTGTTTCTTTGAGGAGTAAAATGATGTCTTTAGACTCCTGCTAGTAGAAGTATTTTACCATATACCAGTGCACTATATGGTATGATATAGTACTGCCTTTTTCAAAAACCTGCTATTAATTCTGACAGATATTTGAATGATACAGTGGAAGAGCAAATAGCTTTATTTTCATAATAAGAATTACATTTTTTCTTTCAGGCTTCAGCAATTTCTAGAAGAGTACAAAGTTCACAGGTTGTTTTGCTGCTACTCAACATTTTTTTTCTTTTCTCTTATTCCCTGCCCAGAGCAAATTCGCTTGAAAAATTTAAGAAAAGTATATGGAAGATGCCTATGGTATCGATTACGGTTGTTAAAACCCCAGCAGAATATAATTCCTACTATAAAGTAAGTATATTTTGTGTTGTAAGATGTAGATTCATATTTTTGTGATAAATAATTTTAAACTCAAATACAAATCAAATTTTCAATATTATGCTAGTCAGTTATTAATATTGCAGGAGTAGTTTTAGGAGCCTTGAAAGGTCTTTGGGGGCCATATATGTAAAGAAACTGAAGAAGATGATCAAGCACTGGATAATGAAAGAATTCTACTAGGTGAAAGGTGAAAAGTTTTAGGATCCATAAATCTTCTTTAAACAATTACATTCATGGTCACTTTAAACCCAATAGTTAAAAGAAATTCTATGAAGATTCTGCAATCCTGGCTGTTCGAACAGGCGTTCGGTTAAACAATGCAATGTACACAATGAATATAGGGAATGGAATTATGGAAGACGAATTGGATCACGATTCTAGTTACGAGACGTTAATGTGTTGTTATTGATGTGTCATTTTGTATATTATGCTGTTAATGGTTTTTAAATTTTGTATGCTGTTGGATTGACTTTTGCTCTTGTTGTAAACCGCGCTGAGTCGCCTACAAGGCTGAGAAATTGCGGTATACAAGCAAAGTAAATAAATAAATAAATAAATAAATTAAAAGCAGAAGTAATTGGTGGATATGTTCTTTGTTGATGCCCACTAGACCTAATAATGAAAATGAACAGGAATACTTAGAACAGAAGCGCTCTAACATACATCAGGATGGAGAGAGCTTCCTTACAGGAGGATGCCTGGAAACAATAGTTTTAATTTAATAATAATCTTTACTATGAAGTTGAGTATTGAGAACTTCACATTGTTTTCAAGGTTCTCCAAAGAGTATAAGTAGTTAAGATCATTAGGAGAAACTGTCTTAAAGGAACAATCAGTGGTGGAAGTCTGCTTGATGGACAGGCAAAAGAGTACTTTTTATCAAATGGGAAATACTTATAGAATTTCCATCTTGTCTTCCTTTCATTGATTTTAGGAAGGTTGTGCAAATATCTTCACTGTGTCCTTTTGAACTGTTTCGGTATTATTATTATTATTGTGATAATAGTTGTATCATGAAATTTGTTTTTAGTGAAGTCATTAGCAATCTTTTTTAGTATTAATAAGTAGAATTTGAAACAAATATTCTCAACATTTTGGAGACCATTCATCAGCTTGTTCAGTAGACAGTGCTGATCTTGTGTAATTGTTTTAAGGATTCCTTTAACATTGCTGTAATAAAATACAGCATATATTTTGATAGAAAACCTCTTTCATTCAGAATTTTAATGTTTTAAAAATGCTTCCTTTAAAAAAAACTTCTCATTTTCTCAGGAAGGCAATTCTGCTTGCTGGATGGGCACTCTTATTATTTCTTGCCTACAAAGTTTCCAAAACAGACAGAGAATATCAAGAATACAACCCATATGAAGTATTAAATTTAGACCCAGTAAGTAATATTCTTCATTATTATTTATTTAAGTTTGAAATAAATTCACAGATACTCTCAGAGTAAATGAAATAATTATGTGCCATTCCATGTCACAGGAATGGAACTACCTTTCCTGTTCCCTCCTGTTTATCTGTTGGGTTTTTTTGCGTGGGGGGCTGCAGAGGAAGAGAAGACTGACAACCTCATCACATTTACCAAAATTGGTGGCATACACCAGTTACTCTCCATTTGCTCACCGTTTGCCCCACAGAGCCTGCCGGCTCCCATCCAGCATAGAGCTACTTCCTCATCACATTTACCAAAATTGGTGGCAACACAGAAGGCTTCCCATGTTGAATTAGCAACAAATGGGGGGGGGGGGTATGTGGATGGGATGAGGTTAGGGATAAGTTGGGCAATGCGGCGCAAGGGGTGACACATTCCCCCTGCCTCCCACCAGGCACTGCCAGAATCTGTGGCAATTCCTGTGGCAAATGTGATGAGGTCCTTACATTCATTTCACTTAATGATAAATGACTTCTAAATGCCATACATTGATATGTTAAAGTATTATCAGTATGCAGTATTTCTCATTTGAAATCTGGCATGAACTTCTTAATGTGAAATTATATATTTTTGATGTACATTAAGCATTTCTATCTTCTGGCTAATTTTTACCTAGGGATAGAGATGTGATGCGCAATTTTTCCCAAAGCAATTTTTTGGAAAACAATAAAAATAAGCGGTTTATGGAATATTTTTTTAAAAAATGACTCATTGGCTTTCTACATTATTTCTAAAAACTGTGTACAGGTAGATGCTTATGGAAGACTAGCGCTCACTCTGATTAGTTTCCAAGGTCAGATCGGATGTAGGGTATATCTGTAGAGCTTGGAACGTAGTTGATACAACATTTGGACATTTCAGTTAGCTACAAATATAGCAAATTCTGGATTTATTTTTCTGGACCTCTTCTTCATTTCCAATTTTGATTGGATTATGTAGACAAATCATGACTGCCTATAACCTATAAAACAACAACAACAGTTTGATGTGGCAGCATAGAGAAATATAGTGAAAAAATAGCTATGATATCTATTGTGAGATATCAATCATGTAAAGGTTTCTTTGTTCTGGAAGATTTGACAGTATGTTGCATTTTTCAGATAAAGACATAAGCTGCAACATACTTTGAATGGTACAAACATTCATATACTTGTTCATCATTACACTAAAATCTTTCAACATCTGAGTGATTATGAGGTTTGTTACGGTATGCCTTCAGTTATGGTGCCGGTGCTAAATCCTTTAGAGTATGATAGGAGTCACAATCCAGTTTCTTGCATATGTACTCAGAATACTGAAATCAGTAGGAATAACTCCAGGTATGTAGCATCTTGGATTAGAACCTTAAGGTACTTGGTATAATTAATATGAAACTTTTTCTTTAAAGGGAGCAAGTGTGGCAGAAATTAAAAGACAATACCGTTTGCTGTCACTGAAATACCATCCTGATAAAGGAGGAGATGAAGTTATGTTTATGAGGATTGCAAAGGCTCATGCAGCGTAAGTTTCTTAATACTCACCCCCCCCCCCCACAGAATGGCAGTTGATGCAAACTAGCACACAAAGAAATTAACACCCTCATCGCAATCTTTGAACCAGTTAGCTGTGATTCCTGCCTAATGTTACCTGTACTAATTTTATATTACCCTAGTTTAAGTGTGTTGGTTGAACTGTTTGGTTGCTTCCTTGATAAACCAGGATTTATAAACCAACAATAAAATCTAGTTTTTAATTCTGGCTTTTTGAGGGAACAGCTAGCAAGGACTTCTGGTTTGGACAATACTAAACAAAACCGTAGCAGGTATACTTAACTGTCATGCTTATAGGAAGGAACAAATGGGCTGAACACTAAATGTTCTTTGCAAAGTAGACCCCTGAGTGTCAGAAGCTTATTGCCAGTCATGCATTAGTGTCTGTTGGGATAGATTTAAACATGCATATTCTCACAAAAGGAAGAGCATTATTATTATACTAGCTAGGACTGAGGGAACTGCATTCCAAAAAATTAAGACAGCCCACTGCAGTTGTAGCACAATAAGGCAATTCAAATGAAATGTGATTTTTTTTGTTTTGATATCATATCTTTCTTTTGTTTTGAAGAGGCAGTGACCTGCCTCTTCAAAGTAAACCATGTTTATTTACATGCTCGAACTTTGAAAATTGGTGCTCTTCCCACTCTAGTATGGTTTTGAAGAGGTTGTTGGAAGCTTTCACTGACCATTTTCACTGTATTTTATCTTTAGGATAGCTATGGCTATCCTTCAGTATAATTCAGTGAAACAAGCCAGCTTGAGTCAGTGCAGTCCTTTTATAACAAATTCTACTTTGGTTTAGTTAGGACATATATTGAGGAGCCATTTTAGCTTGGGAAAAGAAAGAAATTAGAAGTTAAAATTGTATTGGTATTCTAAACTTTGACTTGTATCCAGAATTTCATTCCAGTAGGGGAAGCAGAGCTTTTCCCTTTCTGGGAGACTGTTTTGGTTGTTGTGTCTTCAAGTTGTTTCTGACTTAGTACCTTTGCAGAGAGTTTTCTTGTCAAGATTTGTTCTGAGGGGCTATGCCTTTTTCTGAGGCTGAGAGAGACTTGACTTGCTCTAGGCCACCCAGTGGATAGTCATAGCTGAGTGGGGATTTTTATACTGGTCTTCAGAGTTAAATTCAAATGTTCAAACCACTACATCCATATTGACTTCTCCTTTTCCTGCAGTTCCCTGAACCACCATCTTTTCTGTTTATGAGGTTCTCTAACTCTTCAGCGCAGAGTAGGAGAGGGCAATGTGGACTGCAGGTGGAAGGGGAAACAGGCTAAAACTGTGTGCTTCATTCTGCAGGTAGAAATATTCCACTTGATAGCCTCCCTCTGACAAGGGGAGACGCTTTGTCCACGCTAAAAAATTACTAAATCCAGCGAATTATTGAATAACACCCTTCTAACTGATTTAGACTGCAGTTATAGGCTACTAGAGATGATTTTTCTGAACTACAGTAATTACAGTATTCCTTCTGCAGCTTCATTCTGAATGTATACATCCTTTTAGTAGTGTTGCAGGGCCTCAACAGTATTAATAGCAGTCCTTAAGAGCAAACTATCTGCACAAAGAAATAAAAGACTTATCACCAATATAGGAAATAGGTGCTTTCTAACATACTTTCCTATTTTTTTGTTAGTTTAACTGATGACGAATCTCGAAAAAACTGGGAAGAATTTGGCAATCCTGATGGGCCACAAGGTAGTCTTGCAGATTATTCTATCTGAAATCAATGAGTGTCTCAACTTTTGCCCTGTGTTAGGTTTTTTGTTGTTTTGTAGCTCAGTCTGTTACTTGCAGGTTTACAGTTAACTCATTTGTTTTTGTATCACTTCCACCAGGCAGGAGTTGAAGGCCCTCTAGATGTTTGGGTCCAAATAGTATTCTAGCATATATTACATAAGAATGAATTATATGAGCATTAACTGAAAGTAAACACATTCATGTAGTTTTTCCTTCCTAACTTCAGTGTTTACATAGGAAATTCTCCAGAGCCAACTTTGAAGCAATCTAGTTGTGATTCCACTTTCCCGTGTGTGTGTGTGTGTGTGTGTGTGTGTATGTATGTGTGTGTATGTGTGTGTGTGTGTATGTATGTATATATATATATATATATATATATATATATATATATATATATATATATATATATATCTCAATGAGGGAAACATCTTTCTGTTTGTTTCTGATTTGCATGGTATCAGAACCTTCTCTGTGACTACCTTTCTTCATAAGAGATATATAAGTATAGAATCCTATGTCTGATTTCACAGATGGTTATTTGAAGTACATTTGTTCCCTTTTTTCCAACATGAGGAAAGTACAATATTCAAAGTGTACACTATATACAGCTTATATAACTGCTTCACTGTATTTCATAACCTTTTCCCCTTATTCTTTGCAGCTACGAGCTTTGGGATTGCATTGCCGGCTTGGATTGTAGATCAGAAGAATTCTATTTTGGTAAGATAACACTTCACTGCCAAATTGGGTATTTCAAACTGAAGGCAAGCAGGGTTTCCACAGTCAGAAGTGGAGGGATAAAAAGGTCTTGCATACCTAGTGAATATTTTCTATGGCATTTCTGTAGTTACCTGTAGAGAAGCTTACCATATATAGTCATGTATAAGTTGAGGATGAGTTTAGTAGCCAAAATTATGGATTTTGATACGACCTGTGGTTAAGTTGAGGACCATTTCCACAAAAAGAACACTGCCTTCTCAAGGGGCCAATCACCCCTGCTTTTTCCCCACCAAGGCATTAAAAAAGGCCAGATGTATCACTACAGCAGATAGAGTAGGGAGGGTTGGTGCTTCTTTTATGTTCTCTGGGATGACTAAGCTCTTACCTTTTGCCATTCTATCCGGAGAAAGGGGTGGTTCCTTTTTTGATGAGAGTTGAAGGACAGTACTCACTTTTACCTGTGGAAGAAGACACTTCCCCAATTTACCCATTTCCCCCCAACCTGTGTGTTTCCCAGATTTCTGGAGTACACTTTGATGATGCAAGCAGCTCTGCAAGGGAGAAGATGGTTTTTTCCTGTTCCTGTTCCAATTCTGCTGACTAAAACATTTCACCAATAGAATAACCCTATTGAATTTCGACCCGCACATATTCTGTTTTTGTTTACCACTTATCTCTCAAATAATTGTAAGCAATTTGCCCCAAAAAGCTATCTGTCAGGATAATGCTTCACAAAGCACACCTTTATTGCTTGTAGGCTTTGAAATTTTTCCATAGTTAAAGATTGTGATTTTCATTTTAAAAGAGCTGTTAAATTCACAACTCTGATAGCTTTACCTATTTTAAATATTTGTGAATGTGTCACAAAATGTCTGATTTTTTTCCTCCTATCTTATCCTTCTAGGTTTTGCTGGTTTATGGATTAGCATTTATGGTTATTCTTCCAGTTGTTGTAGTAAGTATTGCTTTGAAAAAAAAATGATAGGCTACATCTTGGCAAAATATGGAATGGTAAATGTGCATCCCACCTTTTGCTTTAATCATTTATTGGTCCCATACCTTAAACAATACATGAGTAAAGACTAATCCTATAACTCATGCATTAAATATCTCTTCAGTTCTGATAGTTTTACATTCTGTTGTCTGTAATTGAATGGTTGGAGGCTAAGTAGAGTGTATCTGAATGTTCAAAACCATGCACCAGTGTTCCTATGCACCTTGTACCCTGAATTAAAAGGACATGCATTAGGAACTTTCATTTATAAATAGTTGGTTGCTGGGTGAAATTGACAAGTTTCTTCCTGCTTTCTTGGTAATCCAGAGAGGAACATTGTGTCTTTCAAGGAAGAAATCTGGCATTCTGAGATATTTGTGTTTCTCATAATAAAAAGATCTCAGGCTTTCTTACATATACTGTTAAAACTTATTAAATAAATCCTTCTGCTTTTTGTTTTGCCCACTTCATCAGGTATTAACATTATGGGTACAGTCAGCCCTCCATATCCACAGATTTTGTATCCATGGATTAAACCCTACATGGCTTGGAAATATTAAAAAGTTTCAAAAAAAACAAACCTTAATGTTGCCATTTTATATTAAATGGCACATTTCATTACTTCTTTCTATATAATGGGACGCTGAGTATCCATGGATTTTGGTATCCACAGGGGATCTTGGAATCCAACCAGATTGGATATCAGGTCCCACTGTACATCATACATCTCTGGCTCTTCAGTTTTTAGAATTGGTTGAGAGCTCTGAACATTTTTCTGACACTTCCATAGGTTTCTTAGGAATTGTTCATCTTTTGATCCCTTGAAGCTAACAGTGGTGCTGACAAGAACATAACACATTTATGGCTACTGTATGCTGCAAACACACTCAATGTATTGCAGTGGTTCTGCAATACATTAAGTGTGGGTCCCAAGATGTTTTGACCTTGAACTTCCAGAAATCGTAACAGCTGGTAAACTAGATGGATTTCTGAGAGTTTTAGGCCAAAACACCTGGGGGCCACAGATTGAGAACCACTGATGCAAGGCACATTCAGATTGTTTTCGAGTCACCTCTGAGTTGAGAGGGGTGGTATATAAATATGGTAAATAAATATATAAATAAATGGTAACTGAGGTGGCACATTTGTGAGGTTTTCTTGGCAACAGTACTAGATTTACCATTGTGCTTAGGTGTGCTGAAGTGCAGAGTCTTGGATTTTGCTTTTTTTTTTTGTCGTGTCAGGAGTGACTTGAGAAACTGCAAGTTGCTTCTGGTGTGAGAGAATTGGCCATCTGCAAGGACGTTGCCCAGGGGACGCCTGGATGAATGGATGTTTTTATCATCCTTGTGGGAGGCTTCTCTCATGTCCCTGCATGAGGAGCTGGAGCTGATAGAGGGAGCTCATCCGCCTCTCCCCGGATTCGAACCTGCGACCTGTCGGTCTTCAGTCCTGCCGGCACAGGGGTTTAACCCACTGCGTCACCGGGGGCACCGGGGGATTTTGCTGATGTAGTGCAATTCTAAACAAATTTAGAGTGATGTTTCAGAGTGATTCCAGACATAATCGTAGAGTTGATAGTCTATGGAAGTGTGCCACAAAGCAGGCAGTGTAGGTCTACTGGGCCTACCTCTTTCAGGGGCCTCATTTGTCCTAGATACCTCACTACTTGGAAAAATTTATTCTGACGTGGCTTGCCATTCTCTTCATCTGAAGCTAAGAGTCTATGGCTAGCCCAATGGGTTTTGATAGCTAGGTGAGAACTGGAAAGCAAATCTCTTAATTTTATGCTCAAAACTCTAACCATGCTTGTTCTTTTTACATTTTATTTAGTGCAGTATAACCACAAAGCATATCTTTAAGGTTTATTTTGCCTATGTTGGTGTGAAAATAACTGTCAGTTTTGTGTCTCTTTAAATATTTTAGGGTTCCTGGTGGTATCGATCAATACGTTACAGTGGAGACCAGATTCTAATCCGCACAACCCAAATTTATACCTATTTTGTTTATAAAACTAGAAATATGGATATGAAAAGTAAGTCACACATAAAAGATGGGTTGTTAATTTCTGTGCTCATTTCTTTGTTTTGATAGTGCTAGAAATGTGACATTCTGTCATGTGTGTCAGTACCGTGTCAATTACGATTTTTAGTAGGCTTCTAAGCTTTTTATATACCGGACTTTCTTTGCTGTGCTGCCTGTCTCCATTAGAGCATCTTTTCCCAACTTGCAATCCGTAGATGATATTTTCCCCAGATGACAACTGTGGTCATTCTCAACATTTGAGGGTTCTGGGAGAGCTTTCTGTATAGGGCCAGGAGTGATTATATGTTTTGGAGACTGGTCTGGTTTTTGAGCTCCCCCCCCCCCCCCCCCCCCATGGATTTTTTAAAAATTGTGGTGGAATTTTGGAAGTATTCTGGACACTTTTAGAGGAAATATCACAGATGTGGAATCTATGGGCCACAGTAGCCCAAGGGTTGTACTTTGATTATCCATGATGCGAGGATGGAAGCAATTTTGTTGTACTTTCAGCCCCCTGGTGTGTTTTGGGCCTATAGGACCTTTTTTTCAAAACTGGTAGAAATTTCTAGTGAATTTTCAACTTGGAAAACATACCAATGATCTACCCTCCTTCCCCTGCCCATCCAGCATAGCAAAAATGCTATCCTAGGAGTGTTCAAAATTAAAATGGGAATGATACGGCCCACCACATTCTGGTTGAGAGCACTTGCAATGTCCAGATCTTTCAAAGTGTCTGGCTGTTCAGGAAACACTCAGGAAAGGTGATTTATTCTATGATAATTACTTGAAAGGGGCAGTCATATTAAAACTTGTTGGTTCATAGTTGGGAACTATAGTTTGGACTGACTGTTTTATTGTTTTAATTCTTGTTGATGTATTGTTTTAATTGTGATTTACGTTTAATTGTGGTTTAACTATTGTAATTGTTTGTATTGGCATTGTATTGGTGCCCAATCTAAGGCATTGAATCTTGCCATTATTTATGTGTAAACCGCTTTGAGTCCCCCCAGGGGTGAGAAAGACGGTATATAAATACTGTAAACAAACAAACACATAAATAAATAATAGTGTTTGATGCTTGATTTTGTTGCGTTTGTTATATTCATTCTGTGTTCATGTTTTGCTTTGTCTTTTCTTTGCAGGGCTTATAATGGTTTTAGCAGGAGCTTCTGAATTTGACCCACAATATAATAAAGATGCAACAAGCAGACCTGTAGACAACATTCAAATACCACAGGTTTGCTTTTGCTGAAAGATGTCTTAGTCTAGGTGCTGACAAATGGTCCTTACTTACCCTTTCCTCCCTCTTTTTCTCACTTTAGCTCATCAGAGAAATAGGTGGCATTAATTTAAAGAAAAACGAACCTCCACTAACTTGTCCATACAGCTTGAAAGCCAGAGTGCTCTTATTGGCCAATCTTGCCAGAATGAAAATTCCTGAAACACTTGAACAAGGTACCTTGCTTTACAAAGTTGAATAGTTAGGGGTGGAATTATGTTTTGAAGTGGATTTGTCTAGTTTAACCTTTTTATATTTCAGCTGTATTCCTTTGTCCTACTGATGATATGCATACGACATTTGTAAAAATTCACGATGGGTTTAAAATCCTTTGCTAAGACAAGTACAGTTTTGAAATGGATACAAGTTAAATATGTGTTGTCGAAGTTTTTCATAGCCAGAAACACTTCAGTTGCTGTGAATTGTCTGGGCTGTATGGCCATGTTCCAGAAGCATCCTCTCCTGATGTTTCGCCCACATCTATGCCAAGCATCTTCATAGTTTTTGAGGTGAAACATCAGGAGAGAATGCTTCTGGAACATGGCCATACAGTCCGGAAAACTCACAAGTTAAATATTTTTTCCTCATGTATATTCCAGTTGTGCAATGGATTGCACCCCACCCAGCCCTGGAAACTCTGCAGTTAGTGCTGCTTCTCTTTTTCTTTGTGGGTTGGTAGCAGTCTATTGGCTTTTTGAGATTTTGCTAGGAATAGCTCATATTGCTATAAGTTTAATTTCTTTAAAGAAGAAGGAAAAAGCTACTTGTTTCTGTACCCTGTACTTGCTCATAATTTCTTTAAAGAAGAAGGAAAAAGCTACTTGTTTCTGTACACTGTACTTGTTCATAATGACAGTGCACACACAGGCTGGTGCTTACAACCATATACAGTGATTCAGATTAAGCTCATCTTGAACTAGGTAATTTGAATACACTGGATAACTAATTGTAAACTCATGAGGTATGATTACTTCTCTCTGTTTCTTATTTACTTTATTGTTGGTGGTTGTGGTGGGGGTGGGGGTTAAATAAATGTTCAGAAAATATGCCCCCTGTTTTGAATTCTTGGCATTTCCTTAAGAGGAGAAAGGGAGCGGGGGATGTTTCACTGCCTCTGGTATTACTGCTGGTAGTGACTCCTCCCTCCCTATTGTCATCCAAATATTTTCCTGCAATGCAACATTTTACATTTTTGCACGCTAGCTATGTACATTAGAACTCGCAAAATATCAATTATTTTGGACTTTAAGATTTATCCTGATCTTAAAATCCTATTCTCGCTCCTGCTAGCATAGCTTGGACTTGTTTCAGATCAGGGTTTGAGAACCATTCTGATTGGAAGAGGCGTATGCATATGCAAATGATGTACCATTTCCCTATTGCAGATTACCTTAAATTTATCAGAATTTGTCCTGGATAGTTGGAGGATTTTCTTTCTTTTTCACATATTAATTTTTATTCAACGAGACAAACACTATTATACAAACTAGGACATATGCAAATAAACAAATTTCATCAAACACACAAAACAAACCTGGTGTCGAAGGCTTCACTGGGTTGCTCTGAGTTTTCCTGTCTGTATGGCCATGTTCCAGAAGCATTATCTCCTGAAGTGTCACCCACATCTATGGCAGGCATCCTCAGAGGTTGTGAGGTCTGTTGGAAACTAGACAAGTGAGGTTTATATATCTGTGGCATGTCCAGGGTGTAAGAACTCTTGTCTGCTTGAGGCAAGTGTGAATATTGCAATTGGCCACCTTGATTAGCATTGAATAGCTTTGCAGGCTTCAAAGCCTGGTTGCTTCCTGACTTTGAAGTTCCTGGTTTCCACTCTTGCCTCGAACAGACAAGAGTTCTTTTTCCCACCCGGAGAGAAAGAACTTGCCTAATTTCCAACACACCTCACAACCTCTGGGGAAATGTCAGGAGAGAATGCTTCTGGAACATGGCCATACAACCCGGAAAACTCACAGCAACACAAAACAAACATTTTTCTTAATATAAAACACTAACTTGCAACAACTAGCAAAACTACTAAGTCAAGCCAATAACAAAAAGTACATACTAGTTTACTCCCTTTAAGAAATATTATGAAAATATATTTCTGCATTCAGTGATATATTAACTATCTCATAAATTCCACAATTAATCAAACCCCCAATCATATTAATCAAGAATTCCCCAATCTCTTGAAGTTCGATATTTCTCCATCAGCCTAACCAATTTGTCAATCTTAAGTCACAAATCTTTGTTAGCCATTGTCATAGATTCCAGACATTACTTGTCCATTCCATTGTAAATCCAGAAAGTTGGAGGACTTTCTGTAGCAGATATTTTTTCATGTCAGGAATGACTTGAGAAACTACAAGTCACTTCTGGTGTGAGAGAATTGGCTGTCTGAAAGGACGTTGCCCAGGGGATGTTTTACCATTCTGTGGGAGGCTTCTTTCATGTCCCCATATGAGAAGCTGGAGCTGTCAGGAGCTCACCTTCTCCCAGGATTTGAACCGCCGACCTTTCCATCAGCAATCCTCCCGGCACAGGGGTTGAACGCATTGCACCACCGGGGACTCCTTGTAGCAGATTTGAAGGGGGTTATAGGGAGAAATTGCATTATGTGAGCAGAAGTCTGTGTGTGGGCTATTGAATGAAAACACCTATGAAACATACGGCAAATTTTGAGTAACAGTAGCGCAGTAAAAAATGTGGTTATAATCATTTTTTATGTGGCCTTCATAAACTGAATGTTTAGTATTTTGTGTCTTTCAGATCAGCAGTTTGTACTGAAAAAGTGCCCTGCTTTGCTTCAAGAAATGGTTAATGTAATTTGCCAATTAATAATTATGGCACGTAGCCGTGAAGGTAAGAACTAAATTTCTTGCTTGTCAAACTAATAAAATTATTTCTTTACAATATTTGTAGAGTTCTGACCTCAGAGTTTGTTATTAGCAACAGAAAACAACTTATTGTTATTTTGAACCCGTCTGATGGAACTATGATGAAATCAGTTTTTTCCTAGTCATCCGCAAACCAGATCAACAATTGGGTCACATAGTTTACAGAAAACCTACACACACAGATAGATGTCTACATAAAAACTCCAACATCAACCAAGTCAAAAAAGAAGCACCATTAAAGCCCTGGCAGACTATGCAAAAAGAATCTGCGAAACCCAACTCCTCCAAGACTAACTGAACCACCTAAACTGGGCTTTACAGGTCAATGGATACTCCACCACAGACATCGGAAGAACTGCAAGATCGAGAACAAGCCATGAGAGTAAAGACAAAAATCCACCCAGAGGAAAAGTGTTTCTTGCCATACATCAAGGGAACCACTGACCGCATAAGGAAGCTGATGAGGAAATACAACTTACAAACTATCTACAGACCCACTAAGAAAATCCAACAAATGCTACGTTCGGCAAAGGACAAGAGGGATCCTCTCACCTCTGCAGGAGTCTACCATATACCATGTAGTTGTGGACAAGTCTACATAGGGACCACCAAACATAGCATTGCCCAAACATGAATCAAGGAACATGAAAGGCACTGCAGACTAATTCAACCAGAGAAGTCAGCCATACCAGAGCACCTGATGAACCAACCTGGACACAGCATATTATTTGAGAACACAGAAATAGTGGCCTGCTCTAACTTCCACCATGTCAGGCTACACAGAGAAGCCACTGAAATCTACAAGCATGTGGACAATTTCAACAGAAAAGAGGGAACCATGAAAATGAACAAAATCTAGCTACTAGTATTAAAAAACTCTAAAATCATAACAGTAAATAAAGATCAGGGAGCTCCGGACAAGAAACAATCCGGGACAGCTAATCACCTCTCAACAAATGATGCTCCCAGGCAGTAAGAAGTCACACCTAAAAACTGTCAGGCTATCAAATGCTAATCAAGGTGGCCAATTGAAACATTCACACTTAACTTTAACGGGCAAGAGTTCTTTCTCCCACCCTGGACATTCCACAGATATATATAAACCCAATTTTCCTAGTTTCCAACAGACCTCACAACCAAAGAGGCAGGCAAAACGTCAGGAAAGAATGCTTCTAGAACATGGCCATACAGCCCAAAAATCCTACAACAACCCGTTTTTTTTTAAAAAAGTATGTTTTAGTAGGATTTTATGTTTTATGATGTTCATTTTAATTTGTTTGTATGGTTTTCATTTTTGGCAATTGAATGTTTTGCCTTATATGTTGGAAACTGCCCTAAGTCCCCTGGGGAGAAAGGGTGGTATATAAATAAAGTTTTTGTTGTTATTGTTTTTACTAAAGAAAACAACTTGTATAATAGAACAAGTAGCCAATATTCTATAAGAAAAGATACATCTTGCACTTATTTCCAGATTTTATAGTATAAGCCTCCCATTTAAGATATTTTGTTAAAAAAAGCCATGTATTGATGTATTTTCTAAATATTATGAGTTTGAAACAAAAAGTTAAAAATGGCAGTTAATACAGTTTGACAGGAAGCGAAATAGAAGATGCAGAGAAGTATTTTATAAATAATACTTTTATAACTATTTTCTGGCTTCACTAAAGTACACAGTCCTTTAAACTTCCGTATAGGTTTTTATTGTTCTATTTCCTGTTGCAAATGTATACTAAGAATTAAATCGGTCATATTTTTTCTCCCACTCCCTCAGAAAGGGAGTTCCGTGCTCCATCTTTGGGTTCTTTGGAGAACTGCATGAAACTTTCACAGATGATTGTCCAAGGACTTCAGCAATTTAAATCTCCACTCTTGCAACTCCCACATATTGAAGAGGATAATCTCAGAAGGGTCTCTAATCATAAAAAGGTATAACACAAGGAGAATTGTGTAACTTACTCGTGTCACAGTTTACAGTTTTCTGAGATGCTAGTTCAGAAAACGTGAGAGTAAGCATATAGTTCAGTGGTTGCTACTTTTCTCTTTACCAGAACTTGGCAGTAGTAGTTAGCGCATTCATTATCTTTGGACATGTAATGATTGTAGATAAATTAATGCCAGACTGCAACAGTATTGTCAGAGTTGGATTTGTAGCAGAATTTATATTCCCTGTTGGTCCTGTGGTTTTACTTTCCTTATAACTGACATTGAATTGTGAGGAGAGAAACCTGTGCAGAGCTTGCTGCTCCTGTGCCTGTGAAAGAGCTCCTTCATGCTGTGGGTGGGCATATAAGGAATGGAAGCCATAACTATGCTGCTACCTTTCACTTGTTCTATATAAAGTCCACTTTTGCGTGGCAGTGTTTCTTTCTTTTTGAAATATTAGAAACAAGCTTTTAAGAGGAAAGCACCTGCTGTTTATAACTTTCCATCCAAGAGCACCTAGTCATATGTTCCCATTACAATCTTTGGTGTAACTCACTGTTATGGTGATGTGTAGAACAGAATGATGAAAAAACCTTTTAAAGAAGATGAGCAGGGCAATAATCTAGTCAGGTGTATTTATAAACATATTTTGACCTCTCCCATTGTTTAGGAATCTTGTTGCCCACATGTTTACTTTGTCCTCTGTGGGAACTTGTTGTTTGTTTAAATAGTGGTCATTAATTTTTTTAAAAAATTATTGTGAAATTTAACATTTTAAAACAAATGTGAATAATTTGATGAACCTTGACACAATTGATGACCCTTTTGTAAAACATGGACTGGAGTAAAATCCATCAGTTTTACAAATGAGTTCTTTTTTTAAAGATACAAAATCTGTGATGTTGGTTATTAGAAAACGTTGCTTTCCAAAATAAAAATTATCTATTTTTTAAACGTAGTACAAGATCAAAAGTATTCAAGATTTGGTGAGTTTAAAGGCATCAGATCGTCATAATTTACTCCACTTCCTTGAAGATGAAAAATATGAAGAAGTTATGGCTGTCCTCGGTAGCTTCCCACACATCACAATGGATATCAAACCCCAGGGTAAGTGATGGTGAGCTTCCATTTATTTGATAAACACTCATGTTTTAGATAATCTATCTATGACAAATCCATTTTTATGGATTAAAAGTCTTTTTTCTCATATTGATAATTTAGATTAATTAGTGAAGAGTTAGCAGCAGTCAGTCGGGCCGTTTGATTTCTCTGGAAAATGTAGTTTTAGTTATGGCATGCTTTAAGTAACTCTGGGAATGGTTCAACAGCCCAGTAGCAAAATCAAAATTTGTGATTTTTTAAAAAGTATTTTCAAACGGTGGGTGGTTGCATCTGTGGAAGAATCTGTGGACATGGAGGGCCAACTAGTGTGTATGTGTGTATATATATAAATATTTTGTGTCAGGAGTGACTTGGGAAACTGCAAGTTGCTTCTAGTGTGAGAGAATTGGCCGTCTGCAAAGGCATTGCCCAGGAGTGCCAGGATGTTTTACCATCCTGTGGGAGGCTTCTCTCATGTCCCTGCATGGGAAGCTGGAGATGACAGACGGGAGCTCACCCTGCTTACAGTTAGCAGTGCTGCCGGCACAAGGGTTTAACCCATTGCGCTGCCAGGACTTCCTTTTTAACTATAGTATATAACATCTGGATTGCATTATGCCTTTTAAAGAATAACAGATTACTTTAAGACAGTGGTTCTCAACGTGGGGTCCCCAGATGTTTTTGGCCTTCAACTCCCAGAAATCCTAACAGCTGGTAAACTGGCTGGGATTTCTTGGAGTTGTAGGCCAAAAACATCTGGAGAGCCCCAGGTTGAGAACCACTGCCTTAAGAGCAGCTGTCAGACCCCCCCCCCCCCCCCAAATAGAGAAAGAACAAAGAGCAAACCAATAAAAAAGACTGTATTTGGATTATTTAAGGGAATGAAGTTCTTCATAGGTATCCCTTTCTTCCCACTTTCTATCTTTGGTTGCTTGCACTGTGTTCTTAAGTTCTTTTTAAATATAGGTGAAGATTTAATGTAACAAAAGATAACCTGACCTGTTAAATATGTTAAACAAGGTTAGGTAGACTCTTTACAGTTTAGAAAAACATGTTCACAAAAAAACCCCTGTATAACAAAGGAGCCAGTATACATTGATGTATGTGTTTGTCTCTCCTTCCGCTGTCCTTAAACTTCAGTTTTGGATGATGAAGATAGCAATAACATCACAGTAGGATCACTAGTCACAGTATTGGTCACTTTGACAAGACAAACAATGACAGTGAGTATTCTTATTTGTGTATATTATTCTTTGATCTACTGCTAATTGCCCCTTTATGCAGTTGGAAATGCTGACCTTGGAAGGGAATTGATGGCTGGTAGGGCTTGGATCTCTCCTCTGAGGTTGGAGTGTTGACAGTGATTTTGGGGTGGGATTTCTGATTCATTCTGTAGCCCAGGGATGTGTGAGGTTGCAGCCTGAATAATTTTCAAACATGATGGGGGTGTTTTAGAATGGGTTGCTGTGAATCTTTTGGGCTGCATGGCCATGTTCCAGTAGCATTCTCTCCTGACATTTTGCCTGCATCTGTGGCAAGCATCCTCAGATGTTTGCTTTAGAATGTCTCTGTATTTAATGTAGTTAGCAAATAAAGATTTCATTGTACTTTTAAAATATAAAATCTTTCTATGCTAACTCCTCTTATGCTTAGAGTATAGATGTAGTTGTCAGGGATTCAAAGCAGCATTAAATTCCTTTATGTACAGCCGAAGGGACTCTTCACTCTTGTTAAGGAGTCTAATACCTTCTTGCAGTGAAGTGTTCTCCTGAGAAACAAAAACAACATGCAGACACAAAGCTGTTTGTTCCAACCAGAAGGGTTTTTCTTTCTCAAGTAATAGTACAAATAGTACAAATACTAAAACAGTATTTACAGTATGTACGAACTCTCAGCTAAGAAGCGCAATGACTGAATGTTTGAAGGGCTGTTGGAGATGCAACACAAGGGCGATCCCTTTCATAACTTTTTGCACTCAGTGCATCTTCTCATACTTTCATTTCTCAGTCCTCAGTGATTCAGAACTCAAGTAGTACCTGTGGATAGCACACATTTGATATTGTTTGACCAGTTTTCTTATAAGAAAAAATCGCATTCTTGATCTAAGCAATGAGCTTAGATCATTCTTTCCTTTAAGTTATGTGTTTGTTCCAATCCATAATTTTGCATCTGAGCTTGACTTTCTAGTAAAATAATCCAGATAGCATAAACTCTGCCCATGCATAACAAGATCAGTTGCCAGATGAACATTATTATCTGTTAATAACTAGCATCTCCAAATATAGAGGTGTGAGCCACTCCTAATAACACAGCCCAACAAATTTCTTGGTGTTTTGGTTTATAGGCCTGTTCCTGGGGTTATTTGTGGTGCTGATTCACAAAATATTCTTTATGGGCGAGCAGATGCATCTGGCATATGCTGTGTGCTCTGTATCTCAAAAACTAGAGCTGGTAGGTGGAAACTGGTGCCATTTTTGGAATCAGCAAGTCAAATATACCAAGAAATAGGGCTAACATTTGAGGCAGAAAAATATGTGTTGCCCAGTGTAATCATTCCAAATGTATGCAGTGCTTTCTCGTTAAATATTCAGCACAATCCCCTCTGACTCTCACATTTGTTGTGTTATAATGTTATAATGAGGTGATAACAAATTGGCATTTTATCACTTCATGTACACAAGATATTCAAGCCCAGCAAAGCTGGAATTTTTTTTTATTGTGATGCTAAAGTAAACAAAAATGTGAATTGCCACTTTACTCAATAAGCATTCTTTTATGTAGATGACATAGGGGAGGCTAACCAACTGATCTTGCTTTTCCATTCAGGAAGTGTTTGAAAAGGAACAGTCAACCTGTTCGGCTGAAGAGCAGCCTGCAGAAGATGCTGTAAGTTAAAAAAATATTTCATTAATTGTGTTGTAAATCTGTAAAACTCTTACGTTAAATCTGTCATTGAGAGCTAGCTGTACAAGACAATACTTTTCTCCCATTTGTTCAAAGTCAATTCTTTTTTGAACCCTGCTGCTACCAGAGCTGTGTGGGGAGTCTCAGAAAATGAAACGTCCTCAGCGCTAAACTCCATATACAGTTACCTAGCATTTCAAGGTTCTTAAGGTTCTTAAAGGTCTCATTGTATTTCAGAGGCCTTGAATGTTTGCCTGTGTTTGTATATATGTTGGAATCCACTCTGAGTCTCCTTGGAGAGATAGGGCGGAATATAAATAAGGCCTTACTATTACTATTATTATTAAAAATTAAGAATACCAATGATATATTTTTATCTTTGATTTATTAATTAATTGTTTTACAAATACTATTTCATTTATCAGTTCAGTTCAGCTACGATGTGAATGTATTTGATATTCAGGCTTTCTTGTTCTTTGATGATAAGTTCTTAATTATAATCACAATAATGTATTAAATGATATATAAATGCTACTAAATAAATTATACTTTGGAAGGGAGGCTTGTCTCAGCAATGCCCTTTTCTCTTTGAATGCCTTGGCTTTCCTCTTAGCCAGCTGGTCAGTTACAGGTATTAGCCAATTTCTAAAGAAGCAGCTGTTCTCAGATTAGTTGGATGATAAAGACTTAATTGTGTCCTGCCACTTACTAGAAAAGTGGCTAATTTAGTGTTAAAAGTCATTTTTAAATTATCTAGGCCCCAGGCTAGCCTCAACAAGACCTTTTAAAGTCTCAGCCAGGGTAATAACTTGAGTAGGAAAGAGCGGAATTTGCAAAATTAGTTTTCTGAACATTTTTAAGAATGACTCAGCTGATATGACTTTGCTGCCTTGTAATTTGAGGAGTAAAAAAAAGTAACTTACAATTTTTATTTCTAAATTTTGCAGCAAGGTGACACTAATAAAATTAAGAACAAAGGATGGCAACAGAAGGCTAAAGGGGCAAAGAAGACTTCTAAATCAAAGAAGAAAAAAGTTGTCAAAAAGAAAGCCGCACCTGTACCTCCTCTGCCACAAACAAAGCAGCAGAAACAAAAGCAAGCAAATGGGGTTGCTGGGAGTGTAGGTATCAACAGGAATGGCATTTGCAGGAGTTGCAATCAAAAGTTTCAGTCAAAACTTTGGCAGAAAACTCCAGTTAAAATTCTTGGAAAGTATGATAGAAATGAAACATAAGCATAATTTAAATCTCACCTGACAACCAGTCTTGTTATGGGTGGGTAAATTTCCCACATTATGCACACACATACCTTCTAGGAAGCCTTTAATACTGAAGTTTAGGCTGCTGGAACTTTTAGAAAAGAAGTTGTCAGTGATTGGTTCAAAAATGTCCTCGTGCTGTAGAGAAAGCGAGTTTCTATTTTAAATCCTCTTCACCAGTTGTGTAAGCTGTTTTTATCCCTTACATACCCCTTCTAAGTTCACTAATTGGCTCTGATGACTTTCAGACTGGGGGGGGGGGGGAGAATTGCATCCCTCAGTGATGTTCATTCTGTAGTGAACTTTTTCCAGATTCCAGAACTTTTTCTGTTTTAGAATACATTATCATTTAATAGCACATTATTATTTTGTTGAGTAGCAAGAATAAACAATAAGAGATACTGTAACATAAACCATTTGAGAGACAGTTTGTATAGAGCAGTGGTGGCAAACCTATGTCATGCTTGCTGGAAGGGGCATGCAGCACCCTCTCTCCTGGCAGCATCCACTGCAAGGTACCTAACTTCACATCCAGTTTAATTGGAATTTTTGAGTAATGTCATTGTCTGAAATCTAGAAGAAGAATACCATTATTATTATTATTATTATTATTATTATTATTATTACCATTATTATTTGTATAGGAAGTCATCAAAGAAGATGAAGAAGAAGTTTCTGATAAAGGAAGTGAATCCGATGAAGATGACACGAATAGGGACTCTTTAAGTGAAAAAGATGATGGAAGCGATAGAGACTCCGACAGAGAACAAGATGAGAAACAAAGCAAGGATGATGAAGCTGTAAGGCTTGCTCTTTCTTTCTGGGATGCTACTGCCATGGGGCTGGAGAAATAATATGTTTGTCTACGCATTTGTCTTGTAAAACTTTTGTTTAACATACACAAATTGACCAAAGTATGGTTTTTGTGTGAACAGAGCTTGAGAAATGATAGAGAAAACTGAAAAATTCTACAAGTTCTTGTTGATAAGGAATTGAATTCTGTAGAATTTCTTACATAAAATCTACATTGGAAGTTACAGTAGTGATTAGAACACTACTGTAACTCCCAATAAAGAAGATGAGATTTTATACAGGGAATTCTACTTAAAGTTCATATAAATTTCCCAACATTTGCTTCTTAAAAGTAGAAGTCAAGTCTGGGTCTCAACATGTCCTTGTCCTAACTAAGCTGCTTATGAAAAAATGACACCACAATTTGGATGAATTGAGTAAAATAATATTGGTAAAAAGGCAATACTGCAAAGCTGTTTTTTTTTTTTACTATTGCAGAGAAATTTGCTTATTTATTTAAAGTGTTTGTGTTAGAGGGGAAGAGATTTTATGGTACATACAATGAAACTACATTGTGCAGTTTTAAAATACAGGGTTTTTTTTTTAGGGGATCTGTTGATGAACAGAATAATTCCTTTCAAAATGAGGAATAATCTGTCCATAGTAAACATTAACACTTGAATGCCTTTTGCTTTTCTACTTTCTATCATTTTGGGAAGTCAATTCCTAAAATGACAAATAAATGCTAACTCTGTTGATTTATTTTGTGTCTTTCCGTAAGGAGTGGCAGGAATTACAGCAGAGTATACAGAGGAAAGAGCGTGCTCTCTTGGAAACCAAATCAAAAATAACCCATCCTGTTTACAGTCTCTATTTTCCTGAGGTAAGCAAAGAAATAACAAACTACTAAGTAGATTTTGCTTTGGTAAGCTCCAAATACAGTTTTAATAATCAGTGTTGTTTTTAAAATGGTTACAAGCATTTTTTTTAAAATACCCAAACATTTTTTTTCTGTCTCCTTTGAAATATCAATTCCCTTAAAAATTATAAACAATGTTAGGTAAAGCTCAAAGCTTTACATTAGTCTTTTTGGCCTTTTATTATGACATAATCTTTGGATCAGTAGTTCCTGATTTGTGTATTTTCATATGTATATGTCGAACATTTGTATTGCTAAGATGGAAACAAAGTGTACAGAAAAATAATTATTTTTGTTAGGAATTCCTTTCAGACTCAACCCTTATCACCCCTACAATTTATCTCAGTAGCAGGTGTTGCTACTGTATACTTTCCTTATAGAATGTTGATCCAGGTTTTGTTCATGCATAGTAACAGGTATCATAGAATATTATTCACTTCCACTTTGTACCTCCCTTTATATGATCAGTTAGATCAAGCAGGAAGAATAGAGCTTTGTATGACACCTGGACTCAAGTTATAGGGCTTATTACATCCAAATAAGCTAGAAATACATAAGCTAATAGTAAATGATGATTTGAAGTTAGCTTTTGATCTTGGCTTGTTTGGTTACATTTAACTATAATCCCATGTTCTGACATCCCGAGCCACTAAACCGAAGGTTGAAACAGAGTGGGAGTGAAAAAGCAGTGTTCATTAACACCCTGTCTGTGCATTTTGTGGTTCATCTTAAGTGCTGATGCAGCCTAGAGCATCTTTGTTAAACTATTAAACAAACAGTTTCTTAAAGTAAAATTAAGAATTGTATTCAGCTCATTACACATACTGGTTCTTCAGTGTGCCCACATTTCCTCTCCATCTGTTTTGAAATGACTATTGCCCATTAGACAGTAACGTGTCATCTTAACCCAGTTCTTTAGATTCCAGCAATGCAGAACAATTTTTTAGCAGAGAAATTTACACTTTTCTTGTGAAGAAGTGTCAAATATAGGAACCATATGCTCCACTTTGTCTGAATTCTGGAGCTTGGATGTTTTCTTTTTGGAAGAAACCTATTATCTGGATCCATTTCAATCTGGTTTCAGACCTGGTTACGGAACTGAAATGGCATTGGTTGCCTTGGTAGATGATCTATGAAGAAAGCTAGATTAGGGAAGTGTGTTCCTGTTGGTTCTCCCAAACCTCTCAGCGGTGTTCAATACCATCAACCATGGTATCCTTCTGGGTCATCTTGATGAGATGGGTTTAGGAGGCATTGTTTTACAGTGGCTTCGTTCTTTCCTAGAGGACCCCTAGAGGACCGAACCCAGAAGGTGGTGCTGAGTGACTCCTGTTCAATCCCTTGGCCACTGGCCTAAGGGGTCCCTCAGAGATCTATTCTATCACCCATGCTGTTCAACATTTACATGAAACCGCTGAGAGAGATCAGGCAGAGTTTTGGAGTTCGGTGCCATATCTATGCAGATTATTTTTGTTATAATTTCATGCCAAAAGCATTGCATAAATGTTATAAAGCTATGCTTTTGGGTTGGGAAGATTAGCTGTTTACAAGAAACGTTGCCCAGGGGATGTGCAACTATATTTACTCAGTCTTTGAGGAGGCTCTTTCCGTGTCCCCCATCAATGCAGATGACACCCAACTCCCATTCTATGGCAGCTCCACTGGCTTCCAGTCTGCTACTGGGTGAAATTTAAAGTACTGGTCATTACCTTTAAAGCCCTAAATGGTTTGGGTCCGGGCTACCTGGCCAACCACATCTCCTCATATGAACCTGCCCAGACACTGCACTCATCAGGGGAGGCCCTCTTCGTGGTCTCACCCCTGGCTCAAACTTGGTTGGTGAGGATGAGAGAGCGGGCCCTCCCGCCTGTGGCACTTCCGCCCAAAAGAGATCAGAATGGCCCCATCGCTATCCTCCTTTAGGAAGCAAATAAAAACCTTCCTATGTACCCAGGCATATGGGGATACAAATGTTTAAAGACCTAGCCTTATGAAATAGAGAATGTAATATGGACATGGCTTTTAACCCTCGTTTTTATTGATATTGTGTTAAATTGTTATTGTTTGCCATGTGATTTGTATGATAGTTGAATGTGTTGTATTGTCTATTTGAATTTGCTTAATGTATTATTGTATTTTTATGGCATTGAATATTTGCCTTTTATGTTGTGAGCTGCCCTGAGTCCCCTTAGGGAGATAGGGTGGGGTAGAAATAAAGTTTTACCTACTTACTTTACTACTCAGATTTGTGCCCACTTGTCTGATTAAAATGGCTTTCTATGATATTCTTCCTCTATCTGCCTTCATAGAATACAGAAGATTGTAACTGGCCATTGTGACATTTCAGTGACACAGCTACTTTTATTTTTATTCATTCCCTGTGTAGATAGTGTGTAGTGTCATTGAGTGCCAGTTAAGACATTTCACTTTTAGTGAGTATTTTTTTGTGATAAGCTGAAACCAGTGAAGAAATTGAGCTGAAAAGAGAAAAGCAAGCAGGACCTGCAATAAAAGGTTACAGTGGGTCCTTGTTTTCTGATAGGAGTATCCTTGATAAACTCCATAACCTCCTTTTTTAAAAAAAGGAAATAATTATCTTTACAGTTTATTGCTGAAATTCAGCAGCCAATTTTTAAAAACCTCTTTAAAACAAATATTTCATGCCTAGTGCAAAACATTATTTCATCTTTCAGTTCAAAATCTTTTATTTGATTTTTAATGTAATGAATGCTATTTTTGGTTTTATAGCAGAATATTCCAGATGTTCTTGGGTTGCAACTCCCATCAGTCCTAATTGTCATAATAAATGCTGAGGAATAAGGGGCACTTCAGCCCAGTGACATTTAGGTTGTGTTCTTTTTTGTGGGGAATATCTCTGTCTTTATTTAGCACACCCTTTTACTTTCTCTGTATTTTTGCTTAGTGCTGGGATGGTGAACCTATGACCCTCAGATGTTAATGGACAACAATTCCCCAAATCTTTGTCTGTTTGCTGGTAGGAATTGGAGCATCAGGAGGGCCACAGAATTCCCATCCCTGGTATAGAGGTGCTAAATGACTTCTTAGTCCCTTTTAATTTTGGAACAATGAAGAAAAATGATTAATAAAGACCAAGAAAGTTATCAGTGTTTCCCTTTTTTGTGTGGAGTGAACCAATCCAACTAGAGCATTTGCAGATCTGGAGAGTTGTGGAGAAGGCAGAATCCAGGATTTGTTTAACTTCATTTCAAATTTCCCTGAAGATTTAGATGAGGACTTCTCATAATTGCAAATGTTCTCTTTTTTTCCCCAACAGGAAAAACAAGAGTGGTGGTGGCTATATATAGCAGATAGAAAGGAACAAACTCTAATATCTATGCCATATCATGTCTGCACACTAAAAGACCGAGAAGAGGTAAAGTATCTTGTCACGTTCCCATTATCATTTTAATTGGTAGTATGGTGGTTGCTTTTTTTAATCTAACAGGCATTTAGTAGATCAGTCCTAGTAAAAGGATTGGTATTAAGAATACAACTGAATACATGGAACTCTGTTTGGTAAACAGTACTGCATTTGTTGTTGTTGTTCATTCGTTCAGTCGTCTCCGACTCTTCGTGACCTCATGGACCAGCCCACGCCAGAGCTCCCTGTGGGCCGTCACCACCCCCAGCTCCCTCAAGGTCAGTCACTTCAAGGATGCCATCCATCCATCTTGCCCTTGGTTGGCCCCTCTTCCTTTTGCCTTCCACTTTCCCCAGCATAATTGTCTTCTCTAAGCTTTCATTTCTTCTCATGATGTGGCCAAAGTACTTCAACTTTGTCTCTAGTATCCTTCCCTCCAATGAGCAGTCGGGCTTTATTTCCTGAGTATGGACTGGTTGGATCTTCTCGGTCCAAGGCACTCTCAGAACTTTCCTCCAACACCACAGCTCAAAAGCATCGATCTTCCTTCGCTCACCCTTCCCTAAGGTCCAGCTCTCACATCCGTAGGTGACTACAGGGAATACCATGGCTTTGACTAGGCGGATCTTTGTTGCCAGTGTGATGTCTCTACTCTTCACTATTTTATCGAGACTGGACATTGCTCTCCTCTCAAGAAGTAAGCGTCTTCTGATTTCCTGGCCACAGTCTGCATCTGCAGTAATCTTTGCACCTAGAAATACAAAGTCTGTCACAGCCTCCACGGTTTCTCCCTCTATTTTCCAGTTGTCAATCATTCTTGTTGCCATAATCTTGGTTTTTTTGACGTTTAGCTGCAACCCGGCTTTTGCGCTTTCTTCTTTCACCTTGATTAGAAGGCTCCTCAGCTCCTCCTCGCTTTCGCCATCAGAGTGGTGTCATCTGC